TACTTTATTTTTTACATCAATATTAAATAGATAAAGGTGTGTTCTTTCTCGCTCTCTCTCGCTCTCTCTCTTTACTCTGTCTTGCTCGCTCACAGAGGCTGTGTGCTCCTCCGTGGCGATGACGGCTTGCGTTAAAAAAATAAAATAAACATAGGCCTATTTGTAATGTGGGGGGACACAAACGGGATTTTGAAAAGTGTCACGGTTAAACTCCTTATGAAGTGGAGAGGTGACGCTCCACACTACTTTTCTTCCCGATTGCAACGCTGTGTGTGTGTGTGTGTGTGTGTGTGTGTGTGTGTGTGTGTGTGTGTGTGTGTGTGTGTGTGTGTGTGTGTGTGTGTGTGTGTGTGTGTGTGTGTGTGTGTGTGTGTGTGTGTGTGTGTGTGTGTGTGTGAGCGTTTCACATGTGTGTATGAGAGATTTTTTACATATGTCTGTAAATTATTTTGGTTTCAGTTATGTGTGTGTGAGAAGTTTCGGATTGGCCATCGGGAGATTCGGGACTTTTCCCTGTGGGCCGCTGCCGTTGGTGGGCTGCTGCCTTCGGTGGGCCGCTGGCTCTGGCATAAGTGGGCCGTGGACTTTCACAGTACCGCATCCGCCGCCGCAAACACCCGCCGTTACGAGGCTCCGACGGGTCCGGATTTTAAAGGTCCCATGTCATGCTTTTCCGGCTATTACCCGTCCCCTTTGTGTGTTTTTCTGCATTTAAACGGTCTGCAAAGTCACAAACCCTCAAAGTACACCCTGTAGCGAGTAAAACTCTAACACAGAACAGACCTGTCTATGCTGCCCCAGAACGCATCGTTGGAGATTTATATTTTTCTTCCTTTCACTAAACGACGTAATGACGACCCAAATGGACCCATTGGTCCAAATGGACCAATCCGTGGAGACGTTACGTTACGTCCGCGTTAAGTTACGTTAAGTTGACCTCACACACACACACACACACACACACACACACACACACACACACACACACACACACACACACACACTCAATCTTTTCTCAGCTGCAGCTCCGCCGATTTCTCCTCCCTGAGACGGCGGAACACGGCAAGGCTGTGAGTCGGTGTGTGAGCACACACACAAACTCCCAGCCAGGCTGCGGGTGTGTGTGTGTGTGTGTTCGGGCTGGTTTTGGGCTGGGTTTCGTTGTGTCTCGCAGACAGCCACTGGGTTCATAGGGAGGGGGGGGCAGGAGCTCCAACAAGCCGTTTAGGACAGAGAGTGAATACACATACTACACAGAGGCTATTTGAGAATATTGGAACATTGCACAATATAAATCTATTTTAGTATACCTCAACAATGGAATTATGATCAGTAGAAAAGGCCATGACATGGGACCTTTAATAAAAAATAAAAAAAAAATAAATAAATAATCTCCCGTCCACATATCACATTTCTGCTCCCCACCAGTTGGGCGCGCCCCACACTTTGAGAAACGCTGGTCGACAGGGAGTTAAAGTTCAGTAAATACATGTTTTTTTCTAAACAAAAAGCCAGAATAGAAAGCCTGTGTTCTATTTGTTGGTATTTTTTCATTTACACGTGCAATGTTTTTCTACCAGATACTTGAATGTGGTTTATGATGTCTTCATGAACTGGATCATGTCTTTTTTTATCTTTCAATCTGCTGCAGGGAATAAATGAAAGGGGTGGAGAGATTGAGCGTGACACTCAAAATTATATTTGCGGAATAGGGATAGAATGATATAGGAGTTTATCTCAGAGCCGATTAAAAAAACTCACAATTGTTGAATGTGATTATCTTTGGTGGGATATCTCTCTTTTTGTGACTTGTATGTTGATGTCTATCAGAAGGATACCACAACTGTTTTGGCCAGGATAATTGTCACATGATTCTTTTATCATCTCAAGCCTATTCTGGAACCCACAAAAAACCAAGGCTGGTCAAATTTGAAGCTGCACAAGCCGAGAAATTCCTGACTTTTAATCCATAGTTTTGCATAAACTTCAAAAACACTGGGTCCTACTTTTCCTCACGTTAACAATGCAAATGGAGATCATTAAACCTACCCTGCCATCTATAAATCTTTCAA